TTATATTAAATTATATTTTTATTAAAATATTCAATAGATGACCAAAGTTATAATAATCGATTTTGAAATACTCTATGGATACTGGAATCGATGTGACTATATTGTATCAAATAATTACATTTAATTACATTTGACGCAATAACTTATAGTATGAAAACGATTGTGTTAATCTGTGTAAGCAACATTTAGTATGTTAGTTATATCTATATAAATAGAATTCAATATTACTAATAATTTTTAATTAATATTTGTTGCAAGAGTAGTATTGTAATGATGATAGTGAATGTAAACTAATAGCTAATATTTGTAAAATGCCCTTTAACAGATGTCATAGCAAGTGATATATTTCTTAACGAGTGGAGTGTATTACTGGTTATACTTGCAGTACGCATGCAATATTGAATCTCTCACTATTTTATAGCAAATAATCATGTCCGATGACCAGAGCACAATGTGATGTTAGACAAATTATCTGTGGTGTTGTATCCGGCGGTCACATTACGACGTGATCACTATGAAATTTACGAGTAAAATTTACTAGTAAATTTCGCTTGTGTTTTCAGAAAATCTTTTTAATTCAATTGAGAGGATTTTCCGACGGAGCACAACAATAACAACCAATAACATCGCGGTTAATGCCTGAATCGCGACACTTCTAAGTTAGAGAAAATTATATATATAAAAATCTTGGTATCATAGTTATTATTATTTTAACTTTTTATTTATCCTTTATTTACCGATCATTGAATGTGAAATTAGGTCTTCACGTAATATTTAATTTTTTGAATTTAAGAATACGTAAAACAAGGAAACAAACATAGTCGAGTTTCGATGATTCAGATGCTAATTTAGAAGTGTTGATGTATAATCATTATGTAATCGATTTATGAATCGTTTGAAAGAAGAGAAGCTGTAGAAACATATTTTATAATTAAGCGATAAAAAAAAGATTATATATAAATAATATTTGATAAGTAATATATATATAATATATATAATATAATTGTATAATATTGATATTTGATAAACTAAAAAAATAGATAAATCGAAAATTGATGAAATTGATGAATCTATTTGATTCATCAATATATATATATTGATAAATATATTAAATTATTAAATATTATTAAATATAATTTATTAAATATCTAAAATTCATTTAAAAATAGTTATTTGTTGAAATGATTTCTATTTAAAAATTAATATTAATCGTATCTTAAATGGAAACTTTTTTCTTAAAAATATATTCTTCAAAAGTATATGTATATATTATATATATATTTTATATTTTAAAAATATATATATTTTGATCAAATATGAATATGAAATAAAAATATAAAATTTTAATTAATATATAATATCGATAGTTTTGATAATGATTATACATAATATTTCAAATATTATGACGACTAAAATGTCTCTTAATTGTTATTGGTATTTTTTTTTTTTGTTTAATATTTTTATATTTTAATTGTAATAAAAAATTTCTATACGAGCTTATTCAAATGAAATTAGTTTAATTTATTTTTAAGGAAATTTATTTTTAGAAAATTTTTAGAAATTATTTTTAGAAAATATAAATCATATTATTTACAAATTTTTCTAATTATGATTGATTTATTATATTTAATGCTATTTATTGTACTATATTAATAAAATCTTTTTGGTAATAATTTAATTTTAATGTTTTCCTCAAAAATAATAATAGTATCTTATGTTATTCAAATTATATATTTTATATATATTACTATATTTAGAAAAAATAAAAAAATTAAAACTTCTAAAGTCATTTATATTTGTATAGCATATTCTATATGAAATTTTTCAAACTTTTTTGATTTTTTTATTTGTTAAATTTATTATTATTTTGAAATATCAAAAAATAAAATGAATGTCATATTTGTACTTTTTTCTCTATGCATTGAAAATTATTATAGTTATAAAAAAAATATAAAATAATATAAAATTTATAAAATCATATAGGAATTTTAAAAAAAAGTTAAGAATTAGTGTAATATATACATATAATTAATGTCATATATACATATAACATAATCTATATAATCTATATTAATACGTATTAAAAGTAGAAGAAGAAGATATATAGTAAAAGAAGAATTTATAGCATTTATATTATTATTAT